TAGACATCCCAGGAGAGATGAGAGGGAGGGAGGTCTGGAGCTTGGGAGAGATATCTGGGTGGGAGACACCAATCTGGGAAGCATCAGATATGCGGGTATTTAAGGCCAAGAGACCAGAGGAAATTATCGAGGGGGTATGGATAAAGATGAGGGTAAAGGACTGAGGCCAAGGGCTCTCCAAGGCAGGGAGTCTCTTTAAAAGACAAATCTGGGGGTGCCTGGTGTGGCTCAGTCGGTTAAGCATCTGCCTTTGGCTCAGGTCATGATCCCAGAGTCCTGGGATCAAGTCCGGCATCGGACTCCCTGCTCGGCAGGGAGTTTGCTTCCCTCTCTTCCTCTGCCCTTCTCCCCTGCTCATGCTTGCTCTCCTTCTCTTGCTCTCTCTCAAATAAATAAATAAAATCTTTAAAAAAAATAAAAGACAAATCTGATAAGAAAAAAAAAATTCATCACAATGAAGACATCCGTCAACTAGGAACTGGTTAAAAACATATATTTAACATATACGTATATACTATATATATACATATACGTACATATATATTATATATATGTAATGGAATGCTATGTAGCCAAAAAAAGCAGAGGGGTGGGCAGCAGCCTTCCTTCGAGACTGGCTGGCATGCACCCTATGCGTCTTCTTCCTTCCCTACCTCCATCCAGCTTCTTGGAATGAAAACGTGCCAGGTGAAGCCCCATTTTGGATTCTGGAGACCCTAGAAATGGCTAAGGTATGAGCCAGAAGAAGGTCTCTGGAGACTTCATGGTACAGAGCCACCCTGCCCACCGTGGGTGCCAATCTCCAGACTGTTACTTGGAGAGAAAGACATTCCTATCTTGTCTAAGTCACTGGCACTTTGGGGTTACCCTCTGTCACATCATACCTAACTAATAAACCCTGGATCAGAGTAGGCAGTCAGTAAATACCAGTAAAGGACACCTGGGTGGCTCAGTCGGTTAAGCATCTGCCTTCGGCTCAGGTCATGATCTCAGGGTCCTGGGATGGGGTCCCATATCCTGCTCCCTGCTCAGCAGGGAGTCGGCTTCTCCCTCTCCCTCTGCCTGCTACTCCACCTGCTTGTGCTCTGTCAAATAAACAAATTAAATCTTTAAAAAAAAAAAAAAAAGTAGGGCACCTGGGTGGCTCAGTCGTTAGGCGTCTGCCTTCGGCTCAGGTCATGATCCCAGGGTCCTGGGATCGAGCCCCACATCGGGCTCCCTCCTCGGCGGGAAGCCTGCTCTCCCTCTCCCACTCCCCCTGCTTGTGTTCCTGCTCTTGCTGTGTCTCTCTCTGTCAAATAAATAAATAAAATCTTTTTTAAAAAAAAGTAAATACCAGTAATATTCCACAATATCATACTTGATAATTTTTTAAAGATTTGTAAAATTTATTTTTGAGAGAGAAAGAGAGCAAGCATGAGCAGGGGGAGGGGAAGAGGGAGCAGCAGACTCCCCACTGAGCAGGGAACCCAGACCCCAGGATCATGACCTGAGTAAAAGGCAGATGCTTAACCAACTGAGCCACCCAGGTGCCCTTGATAATTTTTTTAATTTAAAATTTTAATGATTTAATCAGCTCCCTCTTCTTGGACACTTCCAATTCTTTGCTAATGTAAGTGTGGTAGACTGTCTCCAAGGACGGCCACCATCAATTCTTTCCATCCTGTGGGCCCCTGACACAACTCACACCGAGAGTCAATGTCCCCTTTCCCTCTCCTTGAATTTTGGTTTGGCGGTGTGGCTTGCTCTGACAGAATGTGGCAAAGATCTGCCACGTGACTTGCAGGCCAAGCTTTTAAGAAGACAAGTAGCTTCTGCCTCTTCTGTCTTGGGAGCCAGTTGTCTCCCATCCAAGTACTAACCAGGCCCGATCCTGCTTAGCTTCCGAGATCAGACGAGATCGGGCGCGTTCAGGGTGGTATGGCCGTAGACTTGGGAGCCAGTTGTCATGTGAGACGTGAAGACCACCGTACTGTGAGGAAGCCCAAGCAGCCACGTGGCGGGAGAGAGATGCCCAGCCAGCTGAAGTGAGGCTCCTGATAGGACCGCAGAATGTTCACCATGGATATTCCAGCCCCAGCAAACCCCACATAGAGAACAATCATAGGAGCTCAGGCCAGACTCCCCAGTTGTAAGAAGTAATAAGCTGGGGCTGTTTGAAACCCCTAGGTGTATGGGATGATTTGTTACACAGCACTAGCTAACTGAAACGACAGAGTGTATAAACAGATCTGCCATAGATGGCCTTAGGGCCAACTCTTGGTGCTCACCTTTGATCATTTCCTAAAAAGGAGTAACTAGAAGTAGACTATGTGAATCTGAAACGTGGTGTCAACTTTGTTTCCAGAGAAGTCGTCGCGATGTCGGTGAGCTGATTTTACAGGATTGTCCATCTGCCCACAGCCTCTTCAGTCCTCGGTTTTCCATTTGTTTTCTTAATTTTCAATTTCTATCCATTTCAACAGGCCTGTTCTGCATACATCTAAGAACTGGTAACAATGATCAGAGCTTCTCTCTGACCACAGAGTAATAACCTAAAACTAGTAGGATGGACTGATTTTGTAGCCAAGAGTCAAAATATTCCCCCTCCGTCCCTCCTGTCCTACCTACTAACATGGATTCATTCATGGAGAACATACTGTGCAAACAAAGTTGGCAAGAATAAGGCACACATTAACTACCTGAGTGCCTACAATGTGCCAGGTACTGTTCAAAAGTTGCCTTTTTTAAAAAAAGATTTTATTTATTCATTTGACAGAGAGAGAGAGAGAGAGCACAAGCAGGGGGGAGCTGCAGAGGGAGAGGGAGAAGCAGGCTCCTGCTGAGCAGGGAGCCCAACACGGGACTCGATCTCACAACCTTGAGATTGTGACCTGAGCCGAAACCAAGAGTTGGATGGTTAACCGTCTGAGCCAGCCAGGTGCCCCTTGGACAGCCATTTAAACAAGGCAAAGGTTCCAGAGTGGGCCTGGGATATCAGCAAGGGGTATCAGGGAAGACTTCTCTAAAGAGGTGACGTTTGAGGGCAGATTTGTATGTCAGGAAGGAGCTAGATTCAGGAAGAGGACGCAAGCAAAGCCCAGGTGCCCGATTGGGCCTTGGTGTGTTTGAGGAACAGAAAGCTGGTCTGTGTCACCGCTGGAGCCAAGTGGGGGAGGGAGCGTGGAAGTAGGTGAGGGAAGAGGTGAGCGTGGATGACAGGGAGCCAAGGGGAGGGCTTCAGGCAGGGGAGGGATATGGTAAGCTTTCTCAGCTTGCTGAATGAAGAAGTAACCCCGGGACACAAGGGAGAAGCTGGAACACACATGGGGCTGTTATTGACGGAGGTAACCAGCATGGAGGAGGTGAAAAGTAGTTGAACTCTGGACAGGTAGAGCAGGTGAAACAAAGGGAGGCAGTGAGGTCAGGGGGCGTGGGGGGTGCTGGGGGAGGGGCTGCGGGGGCTGCGGCAGCAGCTGACGGCCCACCCTTCTCCCCAGGGCAGGGAGGGAGCTCAGGGCCCTAGGGGAACCGGCTGGGCAGGGCCACCCGCCTGACTCACAGCAGAAACTGGGACAGCCCACCCATCTCCACAGCCCCCGCACCGGGGAATGCCACGCCCCGGGCCGAACACTGGCTCCTCCCACCCCCAACCCCTGTCAGTGACACCTAGGTCTAGGCCTTCGTGCGGGAGTGCCTCGAAGGCCTCCTCCAAGCTCTTCTACTTCCAGGTCTTTGTCTCAGTCCTGCCCTGATTCCATAAGACGGGAGTGTCCGTGTCCTGTTCTCTCTCCCCATCAGACGGGGATCCGCTGTGAACACAGAGGGTACAAAAACTACCCTTCTCTAGGGCACGCAGCATCTGTGTTAGGGTCCAGCATTTAGGCTCTGTCAGCCTGGTGAACTCCTATCTATCTGTCAAAACCCACCTCAAAAGGACCCTCCTAAGAGAGGACTTCTTGGACCCCGGTGGTTCCTGGCTAACACGATCAATAATTAAAACCACCACTAGCGAATACAAACTGAGCACTTACTCTCTGAGGGCCTTACAGCAGCCCTGGGCTGTATGTTATCATTATCCCTATTTACAGATGGAAAACGGAGGCTCAGGGACACACGACCAGTAAGTAATAGGGACCAGATTCAAACTCAGGGGACTTCAATATGCTGCTTCAGGTCTACAGCAGGTCTCTTTAAATCCTTCCCTGTGAGATTGGTTTGATCATTGCCATCTTCCAGATGAGAAACTTCAGGCTCAGAGAGGGTTAAACAATGCACCTAAGATCACACGGCACTTCATGGGTGGAGCCAGCTTGGCAGGTGGGGCAGCTGCCTCTAAAGCTCTCAGCTCTTAACTTTCCTCCCTTATCACCTCTTGGTTCAAAGTGTCGTTGATAAGCATCTGTTTGTGCGCCAGGCACCTTTCTAGGCTCTGGGGAACACCTGTAAGAAGGCAGCATTTGAGCGGATTTGGAGGAAAAGAGAGGTCCCAAACGTTACCAGGCGCCTTCCTACTTCCATCCCTTTGCCCATTCTTATCCTGCCAGGAATGTCTTTCCCCACCTAACAAACTCCTATCCATCCTTCAAAACCCAGCTCCAATACTCACTCCTCCTAGGAAAGCTTTCCACACAGATCTCCCAGGCAGAGTCTGCAACACCCATCCTTGGGTTCCCACAGCCTGGGGTCCATAGATGAATGGAAAGGTCTCTGTAGGAGTTAGCCCCACCAAGCTGGAAGCTCGGCTAGGCCCCACCCAGCCCAGTGGGCACAATGGAGATGATTTTTATTTACTTATTATTATTATTATTATTATTAAAGTAAGCTTTAGCCCAATGTGGGACTTGAACTCACAAGCCCCAGATGCAGTCGCACGTTCCACCGACTGAGCCAGTCAGGCGCCCCTGGAGCTGATTTTTAAATTAAGGAATAACCAATTCTTTGGGAAGAGGACTAGAACTCGCCGCATTAAAGACCCTCCGCCTCCTCCCCGTTCGGGCTCCGCCCCTCCCTCGCCCCGCCCCTAAGCGTGCCGGTCCAGCTCCCGGGACGTGGGCGGCCGGTGAGCATGCGCCCTAGACGCAAAGCACGCCGGGAGTTGTAGTTCCGCCATCGGACGGAAGCCGGGACTGACTGCGGCGGGATGTGGCCCGGAATATTGGTTGGGGGGGCCCGGGTGGCGGCAGGTAGGTCCCCCGCGCTGGGGCCTCGCCTCGCCGCCCGGTTCTCCCCGCGGCGGACGCCCAAGACCGGCGTGGCCCTGCAGCGGAGCCTGCACGCGACGGCGGCCCGGGCTCTCCCGCTCATTCCCATCGTGGTGGAGCAGACGGTACAGCGGCCGCGGGAACTCGGCCCCGGGTGGGAGTCGGGGGTCTTGGGGCCGGCCCCTGACCCTCACCGCCATCTTTCTCCCCCAGGGTCGCGGCGAGCGCGCCTATGACATCTACTCGCGGCTGTTGCGGGAGCGCATCGTGTGTGTCATGGGTCCGGTGAGTGCCTGGCCGGGATCCTCCCCTGCGCCTGCCCAGACCCCACGCGCCCCTCCTCCTCCTCCAACCGCCTTGACCTTTGACCCTTCCCCCTTGACCTTACTGCCAAGGCTCTGCCCTGGTCCCAATCTGACACCCCACTTCCTGGGCACATAAGCCTTCGGCCCCCTCTGCTGGCCCCCACCCCCCACCCCTTCTTCAAACTCTGCTTTTCCCTTCCCTGTCGCTGACTCCCTCCCTTACCAGTGATCCTCCTCCCCATTCCTGGCTCTGATCCCTCTCTCCAACCCTCCTCACCCCTTCCCTTCCTTGCCCCGAGCCCACTGACTCCCCCCTTCCTGTGCCCAACCCCCCGTGGGGCCCTACCACCCCTCACCACCTCCCCTCCCTGGTGCTGAGTTCTCTGCAGCCGTCTTACTTGGGCTCTGATACCTGTCCTTGTTCCCTGACTTCATCCCCAGCCACCTCACGATTGCTTCCGTTAGCCGGCTCCTTACCCCCCAGCTGCGCCAGCCCACCCTCCCTGCTTACTTGCAGATCGACGACAGTGTCGCCAGCCTGGTTATCGCGCAGCTGTTGTTCCTGCAGTCCGAGAGCAACAAGAAGCCCATCCACATGTATATCAACAGCCCCGGTGAGCAGAGCCTTCCCTGGGGGCCAGGGCCGCTTCCTGGGACACTCCACGTGACTCAGGGGACAGAGAACGCCCCCCCACCCCAATCAGGAACACTCTCCCTCTGGAGGAAGAAAGGGTGCTGAGCTCCCTTCAGAGTCCCAAGACGGTCTCCAAACCTCCAAAAGTTGCCTGTTCCTTGCTTTTAAGTCTAGGTTCACAAACGGGCAGCTGAGCTTGTCTCCTTGATCCCACACATAACATTTTACCAACCTGACCTGGTGGTCAGCATTTTAAAACTGGTAGCTGCCACCACTGGCTGGTCCCCCTCCCAAAAGAGAATAGCTCATCTTGACTGAGTGCCGACTGTGCCCTGTACTTTAAGCGTTTTATAGGCACTGAACTCATCCGGTCCTCGTGGCAGCTGCCGGTGGTAGGTACTGTTCAGTGATCCCCGGTCTGCCGGAGACACTGTGGAGGCTGGGTAGCTTGCCCAAGGTCACACCGACGACATTGCCAGGACAGGCTGGCTCCAGAGCTTCCCTCTCGGCCACCGCTCTCCCCGACTTCCACTTTCTCTTGAAACTGACAGATCTGGTCCCCCCTGGGCCCATGTGCACAGGTGCTAACAGTCAGCTCACTCTGGAGCATGCGCTCTCCTCTTGGCCCCCACTTAGTTTGTGTCACCCATTGCTGTCACCTCCCTACCTTTGGAAGTATTCACGTTTGTGACACCGGCTTTAAGGGGCTGCCTCTACACAAGCCCTCCCCAAGGCCAGGGGCTTCGCTAGGGAAAGGATGCAGGGAGGAGCCAGCACAGCCCCTCACCCCCCCCGCCCCCCTCCCCCACAGGCGGCATGGTGACCTCGGGCCTGGCCATCTACGACACGATGCAGTACATCCTGAACCCCATCTGCACGTGGTGCGTGGGCCAGGCGGCCAGCATGGGCTCGCTGCTTCTGGCCGCCGGCACCCCGGGCATGCGCCACTCACTCCCCAACTCCCGCATCATGATCCACCAGCCCTCCGGGGGTGCCCGGGTGAGTGCCGGCCCCGTGCAGCCTGCTTTGGGATGGGGGGTGCTGTCTGGACAGGAGGACTGACTGTGTAGAAGTCACGGGGGAGTGTCAGTGCTTGAAATACGGGTTTTACAATGCTTCATGTATGGTGAGGCCATCTGATCAGGAAAGGACTGCCTTGGGAAGATGGTTTGTTACTCACAGTGCCCAAGGCGGGGGCCGGGGGGGGGCACACGCCACATCATGCTTGGCCACGTGGGAAGCACCAGGGTCGCTCCGGAGGCAGAGAGCGGGGCGTAGTGGGGGAGTGGACAGGGATTTTACTGTGGTTTCTGCAGGAAGGAACAGTGAGGCAGGGCCAGCAGGCTCAGGACTGGCTTTGAATGATCTCAGCAGGCTCAGGGGGGTAGGGGCAGGGGACAGTGGCCCTGAGTATGAGAACCCCACGGAGGAGGTGGTTGAGGGTGCGCACACTGATGGCTGGTTTGCCCATGAAAACTCATGGCTGAGCTGGAGCTGTCCGCTCTCTCCAGGAATCCGCTTGCCCTGGGAGGGGCGAGGCTCCACATGCAGAAAATGCAGTTAATACAGGAAGCCTTGGGGCGCCCGAGTGGCTCAGTCGGTTAAGCTCTTGATTTCGGCTCAGGTCATGGTCTCGGGGTCACCGGATGGAGCCCCGCATTGCATCAGGCTCCCTGCTCAGCGGGGAGTCTGCATCTCCCTCTCCCTCTGCCCCTTCCCCCCACCTCTCTCTCTCCAAAATGAATAAATAAAATCTTAAAAAAAAAATACAGGAAGACTTCCTGTATTTTGGGGGCAAAGATGCAGCAGGGTGTGCGGGGCCTCGAGAAGTCCTGCTCACCTGTCTGAACGACCTCTCCAGCCTCCCTGTGAGTGGCTGATGCTCATTCTGACCTTCTCTCTCTTACCCGCCCTTGGGCCACCCCCCCAGGGCCAAGCCACAGACATTGCCATCCAGGCAGAGGAGATCATGAAACTCAAGAAGCAGCTCTACGGCATCTACGCCAAGCACACCAAACAGAGCCTGCAGGTGATCGGTGAGTGCCCCTGGCCCGGGCGGACCCCCGCCTGCCCACCTTTATTTTAACCAACACACACATATGTGGCAGGCCTTGTGACGCTCAGGGCTGGACCATCCTCTGTCTGGCCACTGTGGGACGTGGAGCAGCGTCCCTGGCTGCCGCCCACTGGATGCCAGTAGCACCTTCCGTTTGTGACGACCAAAGCTGCCTCCCAATGTCCCCCGGGGGTGCAGAATCACTCCCAGTGGAGATCCCCTGTCCTGAGCACTTTAAAGAGACCAATTAGCAGAATCTTGATGAAGACTTCCTTGAAACAAGCCAAAGGTTTAAACGCGGTCCTCAGTAAAGAATATTCCAAATGGCCAAGAAATATAAGAAAAGCTGCTCATCATCTTTAGTGATGATATTTTAAAATGACATCATTAGGGGCACCTGGCCGGCTCAGTCAGGAGAGCATGTGACTCTTGATCTCAGGGTTGGGAGTTCAAGCCCCACGTTGGGCTTGGAGACTACTCAAAAATAAATAAATAAATAAATAAATAAATAAAATTTATTTATTAAAAATAAAATAAGGCGCCTGGGTGGCTCAGTTGGTTAAGCGACTGCCTTCAGCTCAGGTCATGATCCTGGAGTCCCAGGTTCGAGTCCCACATCAGGCTCCCTGCTCCGTGGGAAGCCTGCTTCCCCCTCTGACCCTATCCCCTCTTATGCTCACTCTCTCTCAAATAAATAAATAAAATCTTAATTTTTTAAGATTTTATTTATTTTAGACAGTACATGGGGGGAGGGGCAGAGGCATAGGGAGAGACAAATCCCAGCAGACTCCACACTGACCGTGGAGCCCGACACGGGCTCGATCTCACGGCCCTGAGATCATGACCTGAGCTGAAACCAAGAGTTGGATGCTTAACCGACTGTACCACCCAGGCACCCCTTGCCCATCTTTTTTTTTTTTTTTTAAATAACATCATTAGTCTTTAGAGAAAGGCCAGTTAAGGCCGCAGTGAGATGCCATTTCAGTCCATTAGAACAGCTAAAATCTAAAACCCAACACCCAGTGCCAGTGAGAATGTGGAGCAACTGGAAGGCTCACTCTCGGCAGGCAGGACTGAGGATGGCATCACCGCTCTGGAAAGCCGTCTGACACTCCCAGCTCAGGCTCAGAATGCCCCCAAAATGTCACGGTTCCCCCGCTCCGCATGTAACCAAGAGAAGTGAGCGCTCATGTCCACCAAAGCTGCGGACAGGAACGCGGATGGCCGCCCTGTGTGTAGGAGCCCCACGCCGGGAGACACCCCCATGCCTAACAGCAGCAGCACGGGCGCTTTGGTGCTTTATTTATGCCGTGGAGTCCCACACGGCAACGACAGAGACCCGTCCACAGCGACCCACAGCAGCCGGGCTGAATCTCGGAAACATATTGCCGGGTGGGAAAAAGGAGTAAACACTCTGTGATTCCACATATTTAAAAACAAAAAGAAGCAGCCTTATCTACGCCGTCAGGCCACCGTTAAGCTAGCGATTACTGTTGGGCCGGAGGAGTCAGTGACTGGAAGCAGGCTCAAGCAGGGGGCGGTCGGGGGCCTGGGTGCTGGCCATGTGGGTTATGTTCTGTCTGAAATTCACACTGTCTGCTTACCATCTGGGTGTATATTAGACATCAATAACCAGTAAAAAAAGAAAAATGGAAATGGGTATTTTACCGATGGGGAAACTGAGGCACCAAGCGGGGAAGGCCAAGGTCATCCAGCGAAGAAGTGGCAGAACAGGGACCCCAACCTGGCCCCAGGTCTCCGCCCTTAACCCCACACATCCTTGCTTCCCCTGGCAGAGTCGGCCATGGAGAGGGACCGCTACATGAGCCCCATGGAGGCCCAGGAGTTTGGCATCTTAGACAAGGTTCTGGTCCACCCTCCCCAGGACGGTGAGGATGAGCCGGAGCTGGTGCAGAAGGAGCCCGTGGCAGTGGTGGCGGCAGCAGAGCCCGCCCCAGCAAGCATCTGAGAGCTGGGACCTCACCCTCCAGAGGAAAGTCGGCGGAGCCAGGCGCCAGTCAGACGCTGGAGCCACAGCCCTGCCCACCCCTCGCTGCTGAGCCTGGAAGGGCCCCGTGAGGAACTCTGGGTTTGGGGCTGCCCCTCAGGGCAGGTATCTTGAATGAGACACTGTGATTTTCAATTAAATCTTTGTAGTCTTTGATCCCCATCTGTGTCACCTTCCCTGCCTGCTCCACCGTGGCTCGCACACGTGTGCCCTGCACGAGGCCTCCTCTGCTTTCACCGTGACCCTGAGGCTCTGACCTTCCAAGCCCTAACTGCAGCAAACTTTACTGAGCAAATAGGACATTTCAGGCACTGTTCTAGAGGCCACGACATATCGTGAAGAAAACAAAAATCCCTGTCTACAAGAACTTGTTCTTGTGGAGGTAGACAGTTCTTGAAAAAGCAGGGAAAGAGGTATGCAGTGTGTGAGAGAGAGAGTTACAGCGTTCGATGGGGTGGCCAGTGAAGGCCTTGCTGAGAAGGTGATGCTTGAACAAGGTTTAAGGTGAGAGAGGGACAGAGCTGTCCAGGCAGCGGGCAGAGCAAGTGCAAAGGCCCTGTGGCAGGACTGTGGCTGCCAAAGGGGAGGGGCCCCTGAGGAGGCTCGTGGCTGAAGTGGAATGGCGGGGGGACAGTGGAGAGATGAGAACAGAAAGGAAGGAGGACAGACCTTAAAAGGCCTGGTAGGTTGAGCAAGGAGAGAGATGAGCCATGGAGGGTTCTAAGAAAATGACAAGCAGGAAGACTGTGGCTCCCATGGAGTACTGGGAGGACTGCAGCTAGCGTGGAAACCGGAGACCAGTTCCGAGACTTGGAATAATCAGATGAAGGCTGGCAGCCCCAGCTGGGTGGCCAGGAGAGGTCAGATTCTAGGCAGGTTTTAAGGCAGAGCTGACAGGTGGAACGGCTGCAGGGAGGCGCAGGTGTGGGGGCAGGGCATCAGGAGTCGAGTTTGGACACGTTAACTTTCTGGTGTTGGACGTGTCTCCGACACCCCAGGGGGCGGATAAATCTGGGGTCAGGGTTGGGAATGAAAATGGAAAAGACATCATTGGTATGTCGATAAATTAGCAGTCAGGCTGAGAACCGGCTGCTGGATCTGGCACAGTGGAAGTCACTGATGGCATCAGTAGGCGCACTTTCAGTGCTGTGGGGGCCAAAAGCCAGGCTGGAGTGCACCCAGAGGGAAGGGGCGGGAAGACACGGGAGCTGGACACATATTTCAAGGAATTTCATTGTATAAGGAGAGCAGAGAACCCGTGCCTGTCGCTGGAGGGGTTGTGGGGTCAATATTCCAACGTATTTCTAAAAAGATAAATCTTTACAAAGACCACCAGAACACCATTTGCAAACCTAAAAAAAACAATACTTCACTATCGTCACATATTCAACCAGTGTCCAAATCTCCCTGGTTACCTCTATGTTTTTAGTTTGTTCGAATCAGCATCAAAATAAGGTGCACCTTGCAACTGGTAGGTATATCCCAAAGTCTCTTTTAACTGTGGGTTTTCCCCTTAATCTCTCCCTCTTTTTCTTCTCTTTCCTTGAAATTCACTCTCTTGTCTCGGGGACTTTCCATCTGAATTTTGATGATTGGATCAGGATGGGCTGTGACCTCTGTCCTTGATATTTCCTGTGACTTGAGGTATAAACCTAGGTAAGTCGGATCGGATTCAGGTTCCATTTTTGGCAAGTGACCTCTTAGGTGGAGGTGCGCACGTCCATCAGGAGGCGCCCAAAGTGTCGTGGTCCCTCATTTTGTGATGTTAGGGGCAGATGACAAACCGTGTCTAGATCCACTAAATGTTCCAATAAGGGCAGCAAAGTGGTGCTCTGTCAATTCTACGAGGAGGGTTTTTTTGTTTTTTATTTATAAGGTGGGAGCCAGCCTGTTTGTACACGGGTGGGAATGACCCAGTTGAGAGGGGGCATGGGTGATGCTTGGCTTCAACGTTTGACCCCAACCTCTAACTTGGCCCCACCCCATGATCATGGCCTTGATGTCACTCCCCTGAGCCCCGTGCCCTTGACCCCTTCCTCTCAGCCTGAGCGGACTTTTCCCTTAATCTCAACTCCTGGCCGACTCCACAACCGGGGCCTTGGCCCGAAGCCTCCTCCAGTAGCTCCTGACCCCGAAGCCCGTCGAGCCCTGCCCCCCGGCCTCCATCATCTACTGCGCCCCACAGCGCGGGAGGGGGGAGGAGGCGGGTTCTACGGGGAGCCAATAGCTTGAGAGGGCGAGCCGAGCAGCAACCAGTAGGCTTGGCCGGGAGGCGGGACTCTGGGGAAGGCCAATCACTGAAGGGGTCCGGTGCGGCCACAGCCAATGGCTCCGGGGCGGGGGCGTAGCCCTGACTCCGACCGCTTCCACTCCCCGGCTCCGGGGTTATGGCCGGGAGTGGGCGGCTGGCGCTGGGGACGCTACCGGTGCCCGGCTGGGTGCGGGGCTCGGGCCCGGCTGTACTGAGCCGCCTTCGGGACGCGGCTGTGGTGCGGCCAGGTTTCCTAAGCGCGGCCGAGGAGGAGACGCTGAGCCGCGAGCTGGAGCCCGAGCTGCGCCGCCGCCGCTACGAATACGATCACTGGGACGCGGTGAGGCCGGCGGCGCTGGGGGCGGGGCCGCGTGGGGGCGGGGCCTGGGTGGCGCTCTGGGCGGGGCCACGGCGGGGGCGGGGCCTGTGGCGTTAGAGGTGGGCGCAGGGGTGGGGCACTGGGTTGTAAAGGGGCTATAGTTCGGGGCGGGGTCTTGATGCCCAGGGGCTTTGCGGGCAGGGAAAGCACTTCGGAGATGAGGGCATGGCCATAGCTGGAGGCCGGACCTAGAACTGTAAGGTGTTTGGGGGACAGGAGCAAGGTTAAGGGGCCGAAACAGGTGTGGAGCAAGATGAGGGAGAGTCACCAGTTGGGGCCGGAGACAGAAGACTTGAGTGGGCCGAGACGGACAATATTGAATATTGCGGTGGGGCCAGCACTGGGGACAAGCTCTGGGACTGAATTGGAACCTGAAGGCGGGTGCAGAGGAGTAAGGCCAGACCTAGTAGGACAGGGGTTGGGGTTTGAGACCCAGGATCTTAGGGTAGATAGGACCAAGGTGGTAAGTTGAGGGTGGTGTCAAAGGTCATGCTGGGAAAACCAGTTCTTTGCACTCTGCCCGCCTCCCCCCCCCCCCCGTGCCTCAGTTTTCCTGTTCCCTCTGGGTGCTTCCTGGCTTGACCGAAGCTCCCTGTATAGGCCATCCACGGTTTCCGAGAGACAGAAAAGTCACGCTGGTCAGAGGCAAGCCGGGCCATCCTGCAGCGCGTGCAAGCAGCCGCCTTTAGCTCTGGCCAGACCCTGCTGTCCCTGGTGCATGTGCTGGACCTGGAACCTCGGGGCTACATCAAGCCGCACGTGGACAGCATCAAGGTGGGCAGAGGCCAAGAGCCTTGGAGCTCCCAGCGGGGGGTGGGCCGGCCAGGCCAGAGGCTGACTGGCCACCATGCCCCCTCTTCCAGTTCTGTGGAGCCACCATCGCTGGTCTGTCCCTACTCTCTCCCAGCGTCATGCGGCTGGTACACACCCAGGAGCCAGGGGAGTGGCTGGAACTCTTGCTGGAGCCAGGCTCCCTCTACATCCTTAGGTACTGCCCAGCCAGGGAGCCCGCCCCTGCCCCCCCCCCCGTAGCTTATCAGATGCCCGCCTAGCATGTCGAGCACCTTCTCTTTTTCAGCCCTCCCAGCGGACTCGATCATTCCCCCATGGCAGGCAGTCCATCTGGCGCAGGGGCTGCCCTCACCCCACGCTGCCACAGCCTGTTTTCTCTTGCAGGGGCTCAGCCCGTTATGACTTCTCCCATGAGATTCTTCGGGATGAAGAGTCCTTTTTTGGGGAGCGTCGGGTTCCCCGGGGCCGACGCATCTCTGTGATCTGCCGCTCCCTCCCTGAGGGGATGGGACCAGGGGAGCTGGGGCAGCCGCCCCCAGCCTGCTGAACCCCAGGCCCTTCCCCCAGCTTCTCGGAGACACCGTGTTTGTGAATAAAGTTGGAGAGTGGACAGGCTCACTGGCTGTTCGCAGGGGCCGAGCAGAGCAGGGGCGGCCCCCGGAACCCCCCGGCCCCACCGCCTCCCCGAGCGTTGGGAGCTAAGGTGGTGGGGTGAAGGCACACTCTGGCTGAACACAGTCCTGCGGCCGCAGCTCCTTTATTATGCTCCTCGCGGGCGGCCCGCAGCCCACCTCCCCTCCGGTCTCCAATAAATAAGTCCGCAGAGCTCCTCGCGGAGCCGCGGGGCCCCAGGCCAGGCGTCCTTAGGCGCCGCAGCTGCAGGCAGCCGCCGAGAGCTGGGGCAGCCGCTGCCAGCGGTGGCGGTCATCGAGAAAGGCCACGTCGGCGTAGCGGGTGGGCCGGCAGCAGGGCCCGCCGTGGGCTCGGCCCTGGCCCCGCAGCCGGGCCAGCGTCAGGCCGTGCTGGGTGCGCGCACCGCGGGGACAGCTGCCCGCACAGTAGCGGAAGATGACCGTCTCCTCCGAAGCGTAGCCCAGACCCAGCTCGGCCACAGGTAGGGGCAGGCTCCACAGCTGGCACGGGCTGGCCAGGGCTCGGCGCAGTCGGGCACCTGCGTGGGGGGGGGGGCAGGGGGCAGCTGACAGCAAGCGGTGTCTGGGCAGGAAGGAGTTGGGGAGCCACGCGGGGTCTGGGGGGGCTCCTTACCCAGCTGCGGCCTCTGGGTCCCTCGGAGCTCTTCCTCCACCACCGGAGCCCCCCAAGCACCGGGGCCCCTGCTGAGACCCCGCTGCAGCGACAGGAGCAGCAGAGCGCAGAGTAGGAGTCTCCCTGTGGCCATCGTGGCGGGCGGGTCGTGGCGGTGGGGGACGCCTCGCACCCTCAATTTATCCCCCTGCCGGGGCGGGGGAAATAACCTCTTCATTCCCGCTGCTGTAGCGGCAGGACGACCCCGCATCCTCAGGCCAGTTCCTCTGCCCCACCCCCTGTGCCTCTAAGAGTTAAGTGCTCACCCCGTCCCCGCCCCATCGAGACATTCCGCAGACCCATTTCCGACACCCCCTTCACCCCTGATTTATGAGGGGTTGCGGCAGCCAGAGCCCAACCCAGGGCGGGCGTGGGGTCCCCCACCCCACCTGCTTTCTGGACAGAGGTGGGGGGGCACTGAGGACCCACCAGTGGGACCCTCTCCCCACTTAGGGTGCCAGGGCTCTGGGGTCCCCACACTGTGCACCAAGTAGAGGGGGATAGCGGGGAGAGACAGGTCAGCAGGTGGCCAAGCTGACGGGGATCCTCCATCATGGCTGCCACCTGGAGGATTAAGACATCATGCCCCTGTCTCCGGGCCTGGCTGAGCCAACATCAAAACAGGAAAAGGGAGAGGCCCGGGGACAGCCAAGAACCTGAGACATGAGGCTAGGAAGCTCACCCTGCAGGGACTCCTGTCTCTGGAAGGCCCACCTGAGGCCCCTGGGACCTCAGCCCCGTCCCGGCATAAGGGCGAGAGGGGAGGGTAAGCCTGCAGGGTCTGGGAGGCGGCAACAATTTCCAGTGACTTCCATGCCCAGCCCCTGTGACCTCAGGGAAACGAGGCCCCCCCTCACTGTTGAGAGGGGGCCATCAGAGGTTCTGAGGACAGACAGACGGCCCGTTTAGTGTTGAACATGCTGCTCGAGTGAGGAGCTTGCGAGAGCAAGCCTCCCTTTGAGGCAAAGGAAGCACGAAAGAGCTTGGGCTCGCGCTTTAAGAGGTGCTCGATCCCCTGTAGGTCAGACCGGGCGAAAACTTCAGGTAGGAGCCTGCAGCCAGGGGGCAAAAACCTGTGCATGCCTCCCCACGGCTGGGGGCGGGTGTGCGACGCAGGTGCACCCCAGGCCGTGGAGAGGGGTGCAAACCCGCAGCAGTTGGGCCTTTGCTCCGGAAACTGCCAGTCACCTCCCTCCTCCCCAGGAAAACACGGGCTCAGGAACTCGTCCTACGCAGGTGAGCAGACAACCTCAGGAGCCGCTTTTCGGCTTAGCAAGACTGGGAGTAACCCAAACTCCGTCTGCGTCCTGCTGGTGTGGTTACTGTGGTGCTTGCTGGGACCACCTTCCGACAAAAACTGTCACTTGTCCAAAGTGGCCCAGAATTAAAACACTGGCAGGATTTTAAGCCAGATGCTGCTGAACACAAGGCCCTTGCACCTAACCACTGGGGCACGTGGGCCGGCCCGGTTGGGGAGGCCTCAGACCTCAGTCCCGTGGCGGGAAGGCCAGGGGTAAAATCGCCGGGCCAGGGGCAACACTGCTTTCCTGCTGCCCCCAAAAGGCCTGGCGGAAGGATGGGGAGGGAGGCTGAACGGACCTGGGACATTCCTAGGAATTAGCCTGTCATCTCTGGCATCTCTGCACGGCGGCCAAGGGCCTGTGGAACTGGGTGGGGAAGTTTTCCACCCAGTATCCAGCCTCGGGCAAGGCAGAAGCCCCACATCCTGCCCCCACCCCAGCCAGATCACGCAGAACAGGGGTTCAAAAGTGGCACCACGGCCAAATTCCATTTCCCTCAATGAAACTGTCCACAAACTCAAAAAGCCTTCCCAAGGCAGAATGCCAGCAATGGGAGATAAAATAAATGCATAACTAAGTTGTTAGAAATAAAGGGAGCCCTAGAAACATCGCTGGAAAGCTGAAAAATAGGGCCCAGGTGCCAACATCAGCAACAAAAGCGTTTGGGATTTTGTGGCCACGTTGGGCCAGAGCCCACCAGCTGAGAACCCGGGCTCAGCCCAGGGCTCCTGGGCCACCTCGGTGGGAGGGAGCAGAGGCCAAAAGCACCTGCAGGATTGGCCTACAAAGCCGACTGCCCAGGAGGCCCCCACAGAAGCCCTGAGCCGGCCTTAGGTCCCCATCCAAAGCTATAAAACACAATTGATCGTGAAGAGGAATCAGAAGGTAACACAGGATGTCCGCGGGTGTCAGGAACCAGGTATCTGGCAGAGACCATAATAAGACAGATGCTTAAAACAAAAACGTGAAAGAAGGGATTGAAAGCATTAGCAGCAAGGCGCGTAAAACAGACCAGCTGATCTGAAAAGGGAGCAAAGATGATTCAAGGTCTGGAGAACAGACATGGAAACAAAGCACTTCATGGATTAAGGGGGACAAGCTACAACTAAACACAGAACCAGAAGCCAGAGCTGGAGAGACGGCCCACGTGCCCATGCGGGCTGGATGCTCAGTGAGTGCGACAGGCTGAGGACTAAGAGGAACAGGCTCTAAGGGGCAGTGGAAGGTTCCAGAGGCAGGGGCCCATGAGACGGAGAGACCTCCGCTGAGAAAACTGCCCGGAGTGATTTGGAATTGACAAGGTGGGGGCTCTGGGATTGGGGGGGGGGGCGGCAGGGGCCAGACAACACGAGCACCCAGGAAGTTCTAGAGACGGAGCTTGTTTATTGGGCAGGCGGGTGGGCGCCGGAGCCCGTCACTCCTTGAGGGAGAAGTGCATCTTGTCGCTGATCATCTTGCGCTCGGGGTTGAGCCGCTTGAGGATCTGGGCGAGCACGTTCACTGTCTGCTCGCTGCTCAGCCCCGTCTTCTTTGTCTGGAACTTCTTCAGCAGGTCCTTGGTGGTCATGGGCTTCCGTGTCAGATAGCGGCGCACGGCGTCCTCGGTCACCTGCACGTCCCTGAGGGGCCGAGGGCAGGGCGCCGCGTCAGCAGGAGGCTCCCGCACGCCCCTGCCTGGCCCTGCTGCCCTCGCCGACTTACCCGCTGCTGGGGGTCGACTTCCCGGACTGGGGCTGAGGGGTCGACTTCCCCGACAGGCTCTGGGGCCCGGGGTCCAGCCGCAAGCGCTTGGCCACCGGCGTCTCGTTCGTCCGCTTGCCTGGGGGAGCAGGGGCGGGGCTGAGTCCTATGCCCGGCGGCTGCACCCCTGGGCGCCCAGGCGGAGGGGGTGCCAGGGTCATCGTCCCCCCCCCCCACCCGGTGCAGGGGGCTCGGGGGCGGACAGGCCTCCGGTCCTGAGGCGGGACGAGGCTGCTCACCCTGCTCCAGCTTGCTGGCGGCTGCCCGCAGGGTGGACGAGGTGCTGCCGCTCTCCGCGCTGGGTGTGCCCGGCCGGCTATTGCCCCGCGAGCTGCCACCCGACGGCCTCCGCTCCCTCTTGGGGGGCGTCTTCTTCTTCTGCGGAGATCGGGTCGGGGACGGGAGTCTAGAGACGGGACAGCCCGCCCGCCGGCTCCCGCCCCGGGGCTGGGCCTTACCGCCATGAAGAGGGCCGAGGACGCCTCGCTGTCGATGTCGCTCTCCTCCGAGCTGTCCGACTCGTCGCTGCTGTCTGCTCGGGCCGGAGGAGGGACGTCAGTGCCACGGTGCCCGCCCGCCCCAGCTCCACCTCAGACAAGGGGCTCTGGGAGTTTGCGGGGGGGGGGGAGGGGACCCACCTTTCCTGCGCTTCTTCTCCTGAGGCGCGGGCCCCTTCTTCTCCTCCTCCTCCTCCCTGTCCTCCTCGGGCGGCTTCTCCTCCTCGCTCTCCTCACTGCTCTCGCTCTGCTCGTCTACGCCCTTGGGGCCGTCCTCCTGCTGCGTGACCTTGGGCTTGCCCTCCAGCTCATCCTGGGAGCTGCTGGAAGACCGGGGGCGGGCAGGCGGTGAGGGAACGCGGGGGCCACGGCGGCCCGGGGCCTCCCGCCCGCCGCCCGCCGCACCTCGAGCCGTCGGACATGTAGTCCACCTCCTGGCCCTCGAAATCCCCGTCGTCGCTGTCTTCGAACGCCTCATCATCGGACCCCTTCTTCTTCTTCTTCTTCTTGCCCCCCTTGGTGGGTGGTGCCTTCTTCTTGGCCTTGGGGGCTCTGCCACCTGGGGGAGCAGAGCGGGGCTTGGGCTGGCACGCATCCCCGTGGGCGTATCCGAGGATGTCTGGACATGTTGGGGGCCCGCGCTAACCAGGGAGAGACTCCCCCAAGCACTCGCCTCTCACGCACAAACCCGACCAGTCCAAGTCTCCACCGCCAACTCCCTCTCTCTCTCCCTCATCCTCAGGGCCACCATCTTCTTCCCTGCGGCCCCCAGGGCCCCCCTAACCCCCCGTACCAGGTACCAGAAACCACCCCCGTAGCCCAGGGCCTGCCAGGACTCTTTGAACTGGCCAATCTGGAAGCGGTTCGCGCCCAACCCCCTGCATTGCCCATCCCGTGGAAGTCCCGATAAAGGCCACCGCTGAGACGTGCCTGTCACTGCTTTCTGCCTCCTACCAACTGTGCTGCTTCCCCAGGGGCCCGTGGAGCCCGCTGCGTCACGCTCTCGTTCCCAGCGGGCTGTGAGGGATTCAACTTTCCTTCAGCGGCATTAACCTCCCTGAGTCATCACTCAAGGCGCCTTGACAAAGTACGACCCAGCCACCCAGGGGGCTCCACCGGCCTCACCTTCCTCGCCACTGGCCTCGCTGTCGTCAGATGACATCTCCAGGTCATCCTCCAGGTCGTGGATGCGCAGCTCACTGGCCTTCCTGCGGCTCCGCTTCTCCTTCTCCTCGCCGTCCTCATCCTGGTCCTGATCCTTGAGCCGCCGCTGCTGCATGATGCTGAAGTGGTTCAGGACTTTGTTTCGCCTGTGGGCAGGGGGAGGGGTGCAGTGGGCGATGACAAGGGGCCTGGCTCCAGATACTCGGCCCTCCCCCTGCATCTCCACCAGGCGCTCCCCAAAGGGGAACCACAGACAGGACGGAGATGATCTGAGGGACGATCTGACCTCAGAGGACTCACAACCATGGCATGGAACACCCTGAAATCACCTGGGGAGAGCTGGCCCTTCTTCAATTCCCTCTCTGCCCTGTGTCCCTCAAGGAGAAGGTCTC